CAGCGAGTTTGATCCCTGGCCAGGGAGCTAACACACATGGCACAGCAGACCGCTCCTGTCTCGCCTGCTGCTCCCCTCAGTGGTGTATTTCAGTAAATCTGCTTGTTCTGCTACCCACTCTGTCTCTGGTGAATCCTCTCATCCCTCTTCCCCCCCGCACCTCTGGCCTGTACCCCAGTTCTTGTATGCATAAACAAATAAATCTTTTTTTTTAAAAAAGACGACCCATACCTTACAGAGTACACAAAATGCATCATAGCCTTAAAAAATGCGTCCAAGCCTTCAATGTAAGAGTTAAACCTATAAAACATCTAGAAGAAAACATATTTGTGATCTTGAAAGAGGCATATAGCATTTAAGAAGAGATAAATTGGATGTCATCAAAATTTAAAAAAAAATTGTGTTCTTCAACAAGCATCATCAAGAGAATGAAAAGACAAGCTATAGACTGGGAGAAAAATATTTGCAAATCATTTATCTGAGAAAGGATTTGTATCGGGATATATAAAGATCTCTTATAAATTGATGATAAGAAGACAACTGAAGCCTTCCTGGTTGTGCAGGGGTTAAAGTCTCAGCACTATCAAACTATTGCCAGTTACTGCCACATGAGTTTTATTCCTGACAAGGGAGCTAACCCACATGGCACAGCAGACCTCTCCTGTCTCGCCCGCTGCTCCCCTCAGCAGTGTATTTCAGTAGTTCCTCCTGTTCTGCTTTCCACTCTGTCTCTGGTGAATTCTGTCACCCCTGCACCTCTGGTCTACACCCCAGTTCTTGTATGCATAAATAAATAAAAAAAAAATCTTAAAAAAAATTTCAGTCCAAAAAAATGGGTAAAAGATGTGAGTTCATACTTCACCAAGGAAGATATAAGAATGACTAATAAGCACACAAAAAGATGCTCACCACTGTTAGCCACTAGGGAAAATGCAAATTGAAAACACAATTAGGGTCTTCCCAGTGGCACAGCGGTTGAGCGCTGGGTTGCGAAGCTGCCCGCAGCCTCTGCAGCGCCGGTTCAATCCCCAGCTGCCGGGCGAGGATCCCACATGGCGCGCAGACCTCTCCTGCCTCCCGCTGCTCCTCTCAGCAGTGTACTTCGGTCCTTCTGCCTCCTCTGCTCCCCACTCTGGCTCTGGTGAATTCTCTCACCCTCCAGCACTTCTGACTGTACCCACTGCTTGTATAAATAAATAAATATTTTTTTTTTTTTTTTTTTAAAAAAGAAAACACACTGAGGGGGCCTCCCTGCTGGCACAAGGGGTTAAGAAAGACTAATCAATACAATGTAAAAATCAAAATCAACTAGCAACTATAAACCAGAGACACACTGGGGGTGGGGTGGCCGGGGGGCGGGGAGAGGAAGGACTAGAGTCAAAATAAGAGGGGCGTGCAATTGTATGGGGAATATAACCATAATGAAAATGCATACATTGTGCAAAGATGAAAAATGATGTAAGAATTATATATATATATATATATAAAGACCAGCCTATGGGGCTGTCCACAGCCACTGCAGTATGAGTTCCCTCCCTGGCCAGGGAGTTGACCCACATGGTGCAGCAGACCTCTCCTGACTCCCACTGCTTCCATCAGCAGTGTATTCAGCCCATATGCCTGTTCTGTTCCCTACCCTGTCTCTGATGAATCCTCTCACCCCCCACACCTCTGGCCTGTACCCCAGTTCTTGATAAATAAATAAATCTTTAAAAAAAGAAAAAAAGAAAACACAATGAGAAACTACATTACTCACACTGAAATCAGTAAAATAAAAAAGACAATAACCTGTGTTAGTGAGGATGTAACTAAACTGGAACTCTCACACCTTAATGACACTTTGGAAAACAGTTTGGTAATATCTTAAAAAAATTAACCACAAAGTTACCACACAACCCAGCAATTCCACTTCTAGGAATCTATCCAACAAAGAGAAAGCTATGTGAGACTTGTACAGAAATGTTCATAGCAGCATTATTCATAATAGCCAGAAATTGGAAACAATTCAATTGTGCACCAACTGGTGCGGAGACAAATAAAACATGGCATATTCATACAATGGAGTACTACTCATCAACAGAAAAAAAAAATGCTGACACATAAACAAGGATGAATCTTGAAAACATTTTGCTGAGGGCAGACCAAAAGATTACATATTGTATGATTCCATTTCCTTCAGTGAAGAAAAATCTATAGAGACAGATTGCTTGGGGATGGGAGTAGAGCAATGATTGATTGTAAATGGGCATAATGAATACTTTGTGGTGTAAATGTTCTCAAACTGGATTGTGGTGAAGGTTACACAATCTAGTCTCTGCTTATTGCTGTCATTTAGAGACCCAAAATGATAGCTGTTCTACCTCAACACTTGTATCCAGGATCACCATAGCAGGGGGTGGGGGAAATGGGTCTTTGCCTCTTAAAAGATTTTCCTAGGAAGAGATATACTTCACTTCCTCTTCCATTTTATTGGTCAAAGCAAGTTAATGATCATGCCTAACTTCAAGGGTAGAAGAAGGTATAACTCTACTATGTGTGTCTGGAAGATAGGAGAACCAGAATTTTTGTGAATCACCCTAATAACCAGCACAGAAATAATAACAAGGGTACAGTTTACTGTGACTGAAGTTAGTTTGCTTTGTACATAATGAGGGACTTGAGGATATTTGTTTCTTTTTTTAAAAAGACTTATTTATACATACAAGAACTGGGGTACAGGCCAGATTTGTGAGGAGTGAGAGGATTCACCAGAGACAGAGTAGGGAACAGAACAGGCAGATTGACTGAAAATACACTGCTGAGGGGACCAGTGGGCAAGTCAGGAGAGGTCTGCTGTGTCATGTGGGTGGCTCCCTGGCGGGGGATCGAACACTTGATGCAGTGGCTGCGGTGAGTTCATAGTTGCGTCTTAACCCCTTGCACCACCAGGGAGGCCCTGATATCTGTTTATTCTTAGTTCAATTCCATTGATATTGCTTAGTTAAACCCAATTAGAAGAGTTGTTTGTACTATACCGAGACTCCATCAGTATACTTGATTCCCTGAGCATCTAGTTTCCTTAAATTAAATTACACTTTTGCACTCATATGCTATATAGAAAAACAATACATTTATTAAAATATTCATATATTTGAATAGACAGGCATCATTGACTTCTCTATAAGGGATTAGATTACTTCAGTGTGGTTAGAGTTCAAAAGTTAAACCAGGGCCTCCCTGGTGGCACAAGGGGTTAAGACACAACCTATGAAGTTATCTGCAGCTACTGTAGCATGGAGTTTGATCCCCGGCCAGGGAGCTACCAATATGGCACAGCAGACCTCTCCTGACTCACTTGCTGCTCCACTCAGCAGTGTATTTCAGTCAGTCTGCCTGTTCTGTTTCCTACTCTGTCTCTGGTGAATCTTTTCAAGGCCCCACCCCCAACCTCTGGCCTGTACCCCAGTTCTTTTTTTTCAAGATTTATTTTATTTATTTATACAAGCACTGGGTACAGTCAGAAGTGCGGGAGGGTGAGAGACTTCACCAGAGCCAGAGTTGGGAACAGAACAGGCAGACTAACGAAATACACTGCTGAGGGGAGGTCTTTCGCGCCATGTGGGACCCTTTTCCACCGCCAGGTATCAAACCGGCGTTGCAGAGGCTGCGGGCAACTTCGCTGCCCAGCGCTCAACCGCTGCACCACCAGGGGAGGCCCTGTACCCCACTTCTTGTATGCATTAATCTTAAAAAAAGAAAAAGCTATACCAGTTAATGGAAAATAAAGGTAGAGTATACACCTGCAAAGAATAATTTTCTAATTATTTCTAAAATTGAGATGACGGACTGCGAGGTATTAAATTACTAGATGTTGTTAAGGCTTAGGAGCACTTGATAGAAATGGTGACAACTTGGAACAAATGTTCTCCCCAACTGACAACGCTCTATGTTTATGCTTAACTGTGCAGCAAATATACCTGATTGTGTGGTATTTTTATTCATTTTGGACTGCATTTAAGTCAAAACTTTCCAAAAGCAGTTAAGATGAACTTAGAATGAACATAGTTATATTCGAAGAAATTGAAATTTGAAAGGCAGCAGGTACAGTCATACTAAGAAGACAGACTTAAAATTTGACTAGGGCTATTAAGAGAAGCAGAAGAGTGGAGATGTATGACTTAAATGAAGATATTTTTTTCCAGAGAGGGAAAAAAATCCATGGTACTAATTATGCCTATGATGTAATATGAGACAAAAATATAAAGTGATTTTTAAAATATTTTGACAAAGTTATAAACAAAGGCACCACACATGGCTACTAAGCGGGGTAGGGGCTGGGGGTGGAGTTGGTCTGTATAAGTGCAAGCCAAAGAGACAAGCACAGTCTCACAGTTTGTCACTTGGGGCCGCGGATGGCAGCAGGGTATCTGCAGGTGAGGGTCTTGTCTCTATGAAAAAGTTCTTTATTCCTAAAATAAGCAACCCTGCACGGGATTATTCTCAGATTTCATCACAACCAGGAAGAATTTGCCAAGTAGATAAACAGAAAAACCTTTCACCCCGAAAGTGGAAAAAGTCCAAAAGCCTTCTAGATAAGCTACTCCTGAAAAGGAAATTGAGGCTGGACAATAAATGCCCAACAAAATTCAATTCTGACATCCAGGGTCGGCTGGGAGAAATTTGAACAGCAGGCCTCAAAGTGAAGACAGAAGAAAAGCGCTTTATCTAAGGTTTTTCTTCACAGAAAGGACATCGGAACGGTGAGAGGTAAGCAGCACTGCCCTATCTCTTAGAGAAAACATATGCAAAGCGAACGCAGGGCACCACACTTTCTTTTATAAGCGAAACCACAACAGCACAGCCCGCGGCCAGGAGCGCTGCGCTCACTATTGTGTTAGCGCCGGCGGCGGAAGGACTTATCTCCCAGCGACGTTAAAGAGTCCTTCTTTGTTCAGCTCTGCTTGGAGACGCAGGAAGCGGTGTTCTTCCGCGCTCGCGGCGCAGGCCCCGCCCCCTCGGGGCTCTGGAGAGCTGCCATTCGGCACCGGAGTGGCTCAGCGCTCCCAGAATGCACCGGGAGTCCGCGGGAAACCAAAATGGCGAAGGGCTGTAGGGAAGTAGGCTGTGTTTGAGGCCGGTGTAAGAACGCTCTCACTCTACCCCCAACCCAGTCCCCAGGACCTCGGTTTGTGCGTGTGCATGTGCGGGGTGCCCGGTGGGGCAGGTGCCCAGTAAGTGCTCGAACTTGCAGAGGAAGCGCCCACGGGGACGTGATTGGTTGTTTTTTCCTGTATGAAGCGGTTGGCACCACTGAAGTGACCGAATGAGGTGAGAGACCTTGGCCTGGGAGCCGACTCTTCCGAAGGAGGTGGGGGGTGGGGTGGGAGGAAGAAGAAAGAAAGCAAGTATAAAAGGGAAAGATGGAGGCTCGAGGTGGGGGTGGGCGCTCCTGTGTGTGTTCTGTGGGTGCCTCTTGTGTGTGTGTGTGTGTGTGTGTGTGTGTGTGTGTGTGTGTGTGTATTGAAAAGAATAGATAGGAAGGGGCAGCCCACTGGGTGTTGGGGAAAACAGGGGCTGAAGGAACGGTGGGGCATTAGGGAAGTCGGTTGGAGGAACAAGATGAAACATTGAGGCGGGGAAGATGTGTTTGGAGGGACAGGAAGGAACCTGGGGGCGGGAGGCGGTTGGAGGGGCAGGATGAACCTGGTGGCTAGGGGTGGGGAACGGAGGGGAGGAGCCGTTAGGAAATAGGGGCTGAGGGAGCTATGGGGAGCAAAGTGAAGGGACTGTCTGGGCCCTTGGGAGCTCAAAGGGAAGGAGCAGCTTGGGCTTGGAGGGTGGTGGAGTTGTATGAAATTGAAGCATGGGTTAGAGTAGAAGGGCAGGGATACTGGGGTAAGGGGGACACTTGAATGAAGTCTGGGAGCAAACCCTGAAAGCTTACGGCAAAGAAGTGCGAGGAAGAGTGTGAAATGGGGGAGGAGGTAGCTCGTATTTTCTACCGAAAATCAGAGGCAATTCTTGTATCTATTCAGTCTTCCTCATCCCTGCTCAGATGTAGATTTGTAATAATTGGGTTCATTTTTATAACTGAAGTCATTGCGGTTTAAGGGATTTTCATTAATTTGTCAGGATTATTTAATATATTTTGGTAATGCCAGAACTCTTCAACTCTGCGTTTTACAATCTGTGTCCTTGGTTGCTAGCATTTTTCTTTGGAAGCAAATAGAGGGAGCAGATGGATTTAGCAGGGTGGTTTGACTTAGAGTGAGGCTTTATAAACAATGGGAAAAAGGATATGGAATGTTCGCCCATTCTTTAAGACATTTGACTTTGATTAAAGATAGAACCCATTTAATACTAACTTAACGGTGAAAACGTCAGTAGGCCTGTATAACATGAGAGAGCACCATATGAGGTCAGTACTGAACTAGAAATATGTAAATAGTGCCTGATTTAATTTGACTCCAGATAGTCGGTAGCTGTTAACTTTCTCCTTTAGATTGATTCCATGTGACTCTTCGGTATACCTTCCCTGCAGGCTGGTTTCAATTTTCATGTTTGATTCTCTCGAGAATTCCTTTTTTGGGCAGTGAAATGCAAATAAGTGAATTTAAACAGTATTTTATGTGGCTGAAGTAAAATGTACTTACATTTTTAAGTGGCCTTTTCAAAAGTTCAAAGATGCTTTGCATGGTGCCATTTTGAGTAACAGTTTTAGGTACTCAGGAGTTTTGGCATGAAGAGAGTTGATTTAAAATTTCTCAACAAAATGTGTTCTATTTTCATTTTGGAATGTTCATACTCTAAGCATTTGCTGTGATAGCTTGAGAGGGAATACAAGGTGAAATTTTGTGGTTTTGAATTTTAGTTTCCTATATATAAAAATTATGTTTGAATTCTCATTTTTTAATTTGCCCACCTTCAGGATTTTTTTTTTAAGAGCTAAAAATATTCAAGATATTTGAATTAGGAGTGCACCTGTTTCCTGATACTGCATATTTATGTTAATGAGCATTAACGGAAATCTATACCTATCAGGATGAAACACACAATTTTAGAACTAGAAGTATAGATACCATCTGGTTAAACTTCTGAATGAAACAATATATTAATCTTTTAAATATTCCTATTGCCTCATTGCTCAGGTAAGGAAAGGGATTTTTATTCTGTATATTTTGCTATGCATCGTGAGTTTTTTGATACCTTGAATTGTAAATCTTTTCATTAGATAGTTGAAAGGATAATCTGCTCTATTCTTATTTCAACATAATTTTTACAGCTGACTTTAGACAACTGGCAGCATGTTGATTGTAACAGATGGGGAAACTTACCTTTGAGGAGTTGACATAACCAGCATCTGTAGCCTAGTGGTTCTGAAAGTAAAATTTAACTATTTTAGTCTAAACTTTCATGAATAATATTCCTTGGTTGATATTTTTATGTGTTTTGTTTTCTCTGTTGCAATAAAACACTGTATAGCAGCCTTAAATTGCAATGTGGAAATTTCCCTGTGGTTGTTTTTTATGTATTAGGGTATTAGAATGTCCTATAGAACTTTCTGCATTGGTGGTAGTGGTGATATATGTCAGCTCTACAGTATGGTAGCCAATAGCCCATGTGGATGTTGAATACTAGAACTATAACTAGTGAGACTGAGAACTGAACTTATGATTTAGTTTAATTTATTAAAACTAGAATTTAAATGACCATATGTGATTAGTGACTTAAATTGATAGCAGTGTGAAGGGTTATTGAATCAAGTTGTTAGAAATTGTTACATCCAGTAAAGGGTAGAAACCAAAGAAACCTAAGGGTAAGGAACTAAGAACTGAGGAGATTCAAACTCTGTACATTTTTAAGATCAAGAATTGTTCATGTTTGCCACATACTGTATCTCTGTCATACCTCTGCCTAATGTAATATTACAAAAGATCAAGTTAGCAACTTCTCAGGTCTTTTTAGGATATATGATTGTTTCCTTTATCAAAAAAGCTACAAAAATGGGTATTAAGAAAGCTAGTTTACTTTGTAATTTTAAAACATCTTTAATTTTATAAAATCAGTTTTAAACTTATGAAGGAAAATTTGGAAAATATACAAAGTGAAACCAATAATACAATGAACTTTATTTTGTACCTGTGCTTCTTTCATTTCTACCTCATTGTCATATTTCACTTCATTGTTTTCATTGTTTAGTATTTCTTTGAGGTAAAATTTGTGTACATTAAAATTCACAGTGTAACTGCAGTTTTAATCTCTTGTGAAATGTAATTCATAAATCATGTTTGTATATACATTATGCACATGTACATACACCATTTAGGTGTACAATTTAGTGACTTTTATATACTCAGAGTTGTGTGTCCATCACCATCACTTTAGACATTTTAATCATTCCAAGATGAAAAGTGTGTATTCATAGTATTGACTCCCATTCTTTCCTTCTCTCAGTTTAGGCGCTACTAATAGGCCAACCACAAGTCTACTTTGGGTGTTTTTATTTTGCCTGTTCTGGACATTTTGTATAAATGGAATCGTGCTCAGTGGCCTTTTGTCTTGGGCTTTTCACTTAGCATAATGTTTTCTCAGACTTTCATTGCTTTTTATGGCCCCAAAATATTTTATTCTTTGGATATACTACATTTCATTTATCCACTCATCAGTTGCTGGACATTTGGGCTTTTTCCACTTTTTGACTATGAGACAAACAATAATGCCGCTATGAGTATTCATGTAGTTTTTGTGTGGACATGTATTTCCATTTCTCTTGGGTACCTATTTAGGAATGGAATTGCTAGGTCAGATGATAGCTCTGTGTTTTTTTTTTTTTTTTTAATTTTTAAAAAAAGATTTATTTATTTATGCGTACAAGAACTGGGGTATGGGCCAGAGGTGTTGGGGGGGGGGGTGTTAGAGGATTTACCAGAGACAGAGCGGGGAAACAGAACAGGCAGACTGACTGAAATACACTGCTGAGGGGAGCAGCAGGCGAGCCAGGAGAGGTCTACTGAGCCATGTGGGAAGCTACCTGGCTAGGAATCAAACTTGCGCTGCAGCTGCTGCAGACAGCTTCATAGGTTATGTCTTAACCCCATGCGCCACCAGGGAGGCCCCTCTGTGTTTAATATTTTGAGGCACTGCTAAACCATTTTAATCTCTTGAGCAACTATGAGGGGTCGAATTTCTTCACATCCTTGCCAATGCTGTTGTTGACGGTGTCTTTGATTGTAACCATCTTGGTCTTAACAGTGGTATCCACCTCATTGTGGTTTTCATTTGCATTTTCCTGATGGCTAATAATGTTGAGCTTCTTTTCCATGTAATTATCGACAATTTGTGTACCTTCTTTGGAGAACTGTCTATTCAGGTCTGTTGCCCATTTAAAAATTTGAGTGTCTTTTTATTGGTGAATTGTGTTATTCTAATATTTTGGATATAAAACTATCAGATATGTGATTTGCACTTACTTTCTCTCATGGTTTGTGTATGTTAAACTTATATTGTTGGGCCTCCCTGGTAGCGTGAGGGGTTAAGACGCAACCTGTGAAGCTATGCACAGCCACTGCAGCACAAGTTCGATGCCCGGCCGGCCAGGGAGCTACCCACATGGCACAGCAGACCTCTCCTGACTCGCCCACTGCTCCCCTCAGCAGTGTATTTCAGTCAATCTTCCTGTTCCATTCCCCACTCTGTCTCTGGTGAATCCTCTCACACCCCTCTCCCACCTCTGACCCTGTACCCCAGTTCTTGTATGCATAAATAAATCTTTAAGAAATATAGTAAACTTATATTGTTGAACCTTTTTTAAACTGATTCAGTCCAATACTTGTTTTTGTCTGATAAAAACAAGTGTTTGTCCAATACATGTGATTCTGAATCACTTTTTGAGTTTCGTAGCACAGTTTTCTGTGCTCAACACTGTCAGTCTTTGTGCCATGATGAGTATTGGTGACAGTATTTCCTAATAGAATCTATGTAAAAATTAAAATAATTACAGAAAAGTTGGTGCTGGGCTCTAATGCAGGCTTATAGTTAAGTAAAACATGTTTACTCTTGATTCTCACTTTGGGAAACCAGCTGAATATACATTATTAATTGTGTGTCCCACCTTTTCCCACAACCATTTGTTTTCTGGAGAGAGAAAAGATCCCTCTGTATTTCCTCTGCTCAGTGGCTGCTGATACCACCCAATCTGACATTTCTCCCTACTATGGAAGGCAATGAAGTTTATTGTAAATTATTAATAAAAAATAGCTTATTGGAATAAAAAGGTTATATTAAAGAGAAACAATCATAATAATTGGGCTGTAAGGAATCGACCAGATTTTTTTTAACCCTTTAAATCAAAGTATAATTGATATTATTTTCAAGAGTATAGCATAATAATTTGATAGTTGCATATATTGTGAAATGATCACAATTAAGTGTTGCTAACTTCTGTCACTACACAGTTGCAATTTTTTTTTTCTTTTGATGAAAACTTTCAAGATCCACTCCAAGTAACTTATTTATTTTTAAAAGATTTATTTTGGGGGGGCCTCTCTGGTGGCGCAAGGAGTTAAGACGCAACCTGTGAAGCTATCCGCAGCCACTGAAGCACGAGTTTGATCCCCAACCAGGGAGCTACCCACATGGTGCAGCAGACTTCTCCTGTATAAATAAATAAATCTTTTTTTTTTAAAGATTTATTTATGCATACAAGAACTGGGGTACAGGCCAGAGGTGTGGGGGGAGGGGGGGTTGAGAGGATTCACTAGAGACAGTGTGGGGAGCAGTATAGGCAGATCTGCGGATTGCTTCATAGTGTGGTGCTTAACCCCTTGCGCCACCAGAGAGGCCCTCCTAGTAACTTTTAGATACACAATACAGGGGCCTCCCTGTGGTGCAGGGGCTTAGTTCTCAGCACTATGAAGCTATCAGCAGCCACTGCATCTGACTAGGTAGCTAACCCACATGGCACAGCAGACCTCTCCTGTCTCACCCACTGCTCCCCTCAGCAGTGTATTCCAGTCAGTCTGCCTGTTCTGTTCCCTGCTCTGTCTCTGGTGAATCCTGTCCCCCACTGCCTCTGGCCTCATCCCAGCTTTAGTATGCATAAATAAATAAAATAAATCTTAAAAAAACTCAATATTGTACTGTAGTTGTAGTGACCACCCTATACATTACATCCTCATTTATTTTGTAATTGAAACTTTATACCTGCATCCTTTATCTATTTTGCCCACTTATGCCCACATCTGTGACAATCACTGATTATTTGTATCTGAGAGTTTGGTTTTGTTTTGTTTTAGATTGTGCATGTACATGAGATCATGTAGTATTTTATTTTTCTCTAACATTTCATTTATTGTAATGGTCTCATAATCTATTCATGTCTCAAATGGCAAGATTTCATTTTTTTAAATGGCTGAGTAATAATTAGTTCATTGGTGTGGTGTATGTATACACCACATTTTGTTTATACATCCATAAATGTGCACTTGGTTTATATTGGCAGTTGTAAATAATGTTTCAGTGAACATGGGGTTGCATGTATCCTTAGTGATTTTGTTTTCTTCAGATACATAACCAGAAATGGAATTGGTGGATCATATGGTAGTTCCATTTTTAATTTTTTGAGGAACTTCCATTCTGTTTTCCGTAGCGGCTACATTAATGTGCATTCCCACCTGCAGAGCACAAGGGTTCCCTTTTCTTTATAGCTTCACCAACATATGTTATTTCTTTTCTTTTTGATAATAGCCATTCTGATTGGTGTGAGGTGATAATTCACTGATTTTTTAAAAAAAGATTTATTTATTTATGCATACAAGCACTGGGGTACAGGCCAGAGATGGGGGTGGTGGTGGGTGGGAGAATTCACCAGAGACAAAGTGGAGAACAGAACAAGCAGATTGACTGAAATACACTGCTGTGGGGAGCAGCGGGCGAGTCAGGAGGGGTCTGCTGCGCCATGTGGATAGCTCCCTGGCCGTGGATCAAACTTGTGCTGCAGTGGCTGCGGATAACTTAGTAGCTTGCATCTTAACCCCTTGCGCCACCAGGGAGGCCCTCTTTGTGATTTTTGATTTGCTTTTCCCTGATGATCAGTGATATTGAGCATCTTTTCATGTATCAGATGGCATGTATGTCTTTGGAAAAATGACTATTCAGATTTTCTGTTCATTTTTTTTATTGGATTGTTTGTTTTTGTTACTGAGTTGTATGAGTTCATATATTTTGAATGTTACTCATCAGATATATGATTTGTGATCTCTATTTTGATGCCAGTGCTTTTAATTGTATGTATTTGCATTGGCATTGAGGAATACTTTGCTACTGCTGCTTGGTCTATAAGTGATTATAAGATATCATCAGTTGTGGGATCTATATTTCATAGAGTTAAAATGTGAAAATTATATATCTTCTAGTTAATGACTTCTCCAGGCACTAGGGTACCTTGGAGTTATTCAGCAAAGGTGAAAGTGACTAAGGCAGGTTTTCCTTACTGCAAGATCAGAGTCATTAGACAGGAGGTTGATGGCAGAAATATCAGGAGCCTATGGTGATAGCGTAAGCAAAACCTGATGTCCTGGAATAAAGAATGGTTGTAGGAGGTATTTGAGAGGTAGTTTTTAAGAAAGAATCAGAATTTAATGACTGTAAAGAGGTTTCGGGATTAGGGAGGAATCAAGGATACCAAATTTCTACCTTGAGTGATGGTCATATAGTAAGGTTATTAATGGATATAGGGAATACTGGAGAAAGGGGAAGAATTTGCAGAAAATGTCACTTTTGTTAACGGTCCTGGAATAAATCCAGGTTAAGATGTTTGGCAGGCAATTAGAATTAAGGGCTTCGGACTTGTAAGATAGGATAGGGTGGAGAGATTAAGAAATTGTCAACAGATAAAAATTAGGTGAGGCATTAGGAGAATATGACTATAATGAGCAGAACTTGTAATACAAGATCAGGGAACTCTAGGCAACGCCCACATTTAGAGTTGGCAGAGGAGGAAGAATTGGTCTAGAAAACAGGAATGGTCAGAGATGGGAAAAAAGTCATTTACTATGGAAGATGGGCTTCTTAGGAACTGAGGGAAGAGAATTTCAGTAGTTCATGATCAACAATTATACAAAATTGGTAAAGTGAGAACTGAAATTAGAGCATTGTCTTACATTTGGTTGTTTGTAATGGCTAACAGTAATCAGAACAGTCAGCTTGCAATGGATTAAGTGGAATGTGGTTTTTAAAGTTTATTGGTGAAGAGAATAACAAATAGAGAAGAATTTTGTAAGGACTTTGGTTGTTTTTGATTTTGGTTATGGTAGATTAAACCAGAAAGATCTGGAGATTTAAAATAAAGGAAAGTGAGATTTTTGTTGTGAGCTCTCTGTCTAATACTGGAGAAAAGAGTGATACCCTTTTAGAGAAGCATATTAAATAAGTGCTTTATAGTCACCTTTTGGGGGGAAAGGGTGGGAGGAAATTGAGGAATTTCATGTTTGTAATGTTTGTTTTCTCTAGAATATGATTCCACTTTTAAAGGTGAAAGAGTGCCCTAACAGACCTACAACCAAGTTCTTTTTTCAAAAAGAGTGTGTATATAGCAGAAATGATTGAGTACTTTTCTTTGTGTATTTAAGGGTGAAGTTTCGTGTTACCTACAACTTTCAGATGGATCAGCAAAAAAAAAAAAGTGTGTATATACCCACGTGTGGACAGATGGAGAGAAAAAACAAGTGCGGAATATTAATTGGTGACTCTAGATAAATAAAATATTTAGTATTATAAAATAGCTGACAATTTTTTTTTTAAAGATTATTTTTATACAAGAACCAGGGTACAGGCCAGATGCGCGGGAGGGTGAGAAGATTCACCAGAGACAGAGCAGGGAACAGAACAGGCAGACTGACGAAATACACTGCTGAGGGGAGCAGTGGGCGCTACAGGAGAGGTCTGCCTCGCCATGTGGGACCCTCGCTGGCCTGCTGGCCGCGATTGAACCAGCAGAGACTGCCGACAGCTTCACCGTGTGGCGCTCAACCGCCTGCACCACCAGGGGAGGCCCTCTGACAATTTCTTTTTTTTTTTTTTTTTTTAATAGAGGCATGGTTTTTTTTTTTTATTTATTATATTTGTTTGTTTGTTTTTTGTTTATACATGCACTGGGCACAGTCAGAAGTGCGGGAGGGTGAGAGAATTCACCAGAGCCAGAGTGGGGAGCAGGCAGAAGGACTGAAGTACACTGCTGAGGGGAGCAGCGGGTGGCAGGAGAGGTCTGCGCGCCATGTGGGACCCTCCTCCGGTGGACGGGGAGCAGCCGGGGATCGATCGCAACCCAGCGCTCAACCGCTGCGCCACCGGGGAGGCCCTCTGACAATTTTCAAAAACAAAGATTGAGGGGTAAAGTAGAGGCTATAATAGAAGCTTTAAAAAACAAGAGTTCTCTGATAGAGAATGTTGGAGAGTGTACCTACTTTGATAGAATTACGTAGAAGGATCAGCTATGTAAAGAATGCGAATAGTGGGGAGGGCAGTTTTGGTTGTAGGTACAATCTGTGTGTGAATACCTTGGGTGGGAAAGATCTTGGATTTACAGGCTCCCTGGTGTTGCATGCGTTAAAGACAGCACTATCAAGCTATCGCCAGCCTCTGTAGCACAAGTTTGATTCCTGGCTGATTTTTGGCCGGCCAGGAGCAACCCACATGGCGCAGCAGACCTCTCCTGCTTGACCCGCTGCTCCCCTCTGCAGTGTGTTTCAGTAGATCTGCCTGTTATGCTCCCCACTGTCTCTGGTGAATCCTTTTCCCCCGTCCCCCACACCCCTCAACCTGTATCCCAGTTCTTGTATGCATAAATAAATAAATTTTTTTTTTTTTTTAAGATCTTGGTTTTAGAAGAATTAAAAGGAGGTCTGTATGGCTAGATCTTGATATGCAAAATGTTATATACACCTATGAGAAAATTTAGCACGATACTTGATTTTTAGTGTTTTCATCCTAATAAATATCCTAGTTTTCCTGGTGTTTGAATTGTTTATAAAATCCTTTTGAATTTATGTATATGAGACTCTTAAAATAGAGAACTTTGAAAAAGTGAGAGACAATTGTCCTTAACATTTTTATTGTGTAAAAATCAGGGGAAAACAGCTTTTCCTTGAAACTTAATAGAAACACATTTTATCCCTAGTAGATGTAATATTAGATCAACAAAGCTTTGGAGCTGACTGTATTAATATTATGGACCAGAGGCTTGATTTCACGAATTAAGTTTGAAAGTACTCTTGGCATTCCCACTGTGTTTTGTGATTTCAGTAAATAGTTGCGCTCCAAAATTACAAATATCTAGAATAATTAATCTCAGAGAAAATACGGAGTTTACCAGACTAGAGTCCCATTTTGGGATGTAATACAGCATTGTCTGACTTTAGAACTTCAATGGCGTTACTTTACTTTTGAGTTAATAGATTCCTTTTTTGTTAAAGAGAATGTAGTCTCCCTATACAAGGACAATATTATTAGGAGAAAATGAGATGTAAATGCTCTAGAGGCAGTTAAACACTATAGGTGAAGGTGTTTTCAAGTTCTTTTGATTGGTCAGCTCTACTGTACAAAATGCAGTTCATAAACTGGGGCAGAGTTAATGGCTTGTAGGAGGGAGTCTTCAATTCTATTTCTTGCTTTCCAGTCTTAGAACCACGATTGTGAGAATTCTAAGCTTTCATTTCCTTTAATTTTTTTGTGAATTGTTAGTGGAGTTCCATTTACATACTATAATCAACTTTACTAGTTGAACAAATATTCTTAACTCAAACTGATCTATGATTTTCAGGCATACTAGCATTATTGGTTTTGGTATTTTAAATCTGCGGTTAACTGCTATCTGTTGCATATGGAGGATAACTATATAATCAGTGTTATAACTAATCTATCATTAGGGATCTGCAAACTAATATTAGTATTAAAATGTCTTTGTGACACATTCTGTTTTTCTTTCACACAAATAGTTTAGATGACTGGATATTTGATGAAAAGGCTTAACCAGTTACATACTTTTTTTTAACCTGTTGTATTACAGAAATCTCATAATGTCTTTTAAGTGTTTGATATTTCTTTGTCATTCTGAAAACGTATGCTAAGCAGTATCATTTCTAACTTTAAGAAGTTAAAGTTATAGCTTTTTAAAATCTTTGATCACAAAATGCTATATATTTGTTGCAAAAACCTAAAACAGAAATATTCTATGAAACATCTTTTATCCTTAATTTTAAGATATTTAAAGCTATTTTGTATAGTTCTTGAAGATTGCCAAAGCCACACACTGAAATTGTAAACACCTTTGTCATTGTTTGACCTGTTAGATGACTGAGCTATTTTTAATTCCAGAGGGCTCAGGCTGAACCTGGGGTTGAGATGGAGACTTTGCCTTTACTTTTAGTTTAGTTTACTTCAGGGTGTTAAAGAAATACAATTTTAGAAGTTTTGGCTTTTTTAGGTTTACATTTAAATACATAAACAATTTTGAAGCTGTGTGTAATAGAATATGTGCTTTCATAAGATAGTGGTATTTGTAAAGTGGAGAATTTACTAGTGTATATTTGTAAATAAAGACTTTTCATTTATTGAGGAAAGATTAAGTACCTACTCTTGCCAGACACTATGAAAACTTTTAGATATCTGGTTGTAAGCAAATATTTTCTCTCAACTTGATATTTGAAATGTAAATTCCATTGGTTTACATGAGATTATTAGAGTATAAATTTCCAGAAAATTGATTCTGCTTTTAATACATATTTTATGCAGATGATTCAGGCAAACTATGAAAGTTAAGAGAGTAGGTTTGTTAGAATATGAATATAGTTAGAATATGAATATTGTTTGTTAGAATATGAATATTGCTAGTTTTAAAAACTATTCTCTTCTTTTTTTTTTAAAAGAAAAAGATTTATTTATTTATTTAAGCACCGGGTACAGTCAGAAGCGCGGGAGGGTGAGAGAATTCACCAGAGCGGGGAACAGAACAGGCAGACTTGACTTTAAAATACACTGCTGGAGGGGAGCAGCGGGCGCGGCAGGAGAGGTCTGCGTGCCATGTGGGACTCTTGCCGGTGGCTGGGGATCGAACGGGCGCTGCAGAGGCTGCGGGCAGCTTTGCAGCCTAGTGCTCAACTGCTGCACCACCAGGGGAGGCCCAAAACTACTTTATTCTTATAACCAAAAGCTTATATTAATGTTCATGTTTTCCCTACCCCTCCTCAAAGAACTAAGTTTTTTTTGAGAAAGAGTGAGCTAAATTAAACCTTTTAGTCTTCATTTCTAAACTCCATTTGGTCAGGCGATTGAACTCATTTGTCTAAGTGACTTTGGATTTGTTAGCCTTAGTAGAGTCATTTTATCTAACCTGTTAAGTACATTTAATATACTACTTAGCTCTTTACTGTCTTTCCCATTTTTTATGATTTTTCTTTCTAGATTACCTTTCTACATTTGTGGTTATTTTTCTTCAAAAGATTTCTTTTGCCTCTATTTTGAATAAGTTTTCCAGAAACCCCTAGATTGGACTTAGACAAAACACTACATTTTTTGGTAGAATGGGGATGCTGATAGGGTTGCCATTTTTTTTATTTTGGAACGTGAGAACACTTATAAAAATTTCCACTTAGAGTGGAGCATCCTCAAATTACTAAAAATGGAACTACTGGGCCTCCCCTGGTGGCGCAGCAGTTGAGCGCTGGGTTGCGGGCCTGTCTGCAGCCTCTGTAGCGCTGGTTCAATCCCTGGCCATCAGCGAGGGTCCCAAAAAAATAAAAATAAAAAATAAAAATAAAAATTGGAACTACTGTATGACCCAGCAATTCCACTTCTAGGAATCTAACCAAAGGTCACAGAAACATTAATTTGAAAGGAAATCTGCACGCCCGTGTTTATTGCAGCACTATTTACAATAGCTAAGATACGGAACCAACCAAAATGCCCCCAAACAGGTGACTGGATCAAGAGGCTGTGACATATATACACAGTGGAATACAATACAGCAATCAAAAAGAGAAACTATGTCATTTGCAGCAACATGGATGGAGCTGGAAGGGATTATGCTCAATGAAATAAGTCAGAAGGAAAGAGAAAAATACTGGATGGTTTCATTTATAGGAGGAGCATAGGGAAGAAAAACAAGGGATTAAGGAAAAAAAAGACAAAAATAGCAGCCAAACTAATTGGAGACATTCAGCAGGGGAGTGGGAGGAAGAGGGATCAGAATATTTGAGGGAAGAGTACAAGATACTATGGTGATGGTTCGTGTGGGGGGTAATTTTATGGGGATTACACTTTAGGGGAGAATGAATGACTGTAAAAAGTATATAGAAAAATTAAAAAAATTAACTTGATTAAAAAAATTCCTACTATACACCATCACTTCATGCAAGAAGAGGTATTTCAAGTGTAAAGAGATGAAGGCTGTGCTCTCAAAATATGGAATGGTCTTTAAGTTGATTAAAAACTGTATTGTCCTTATTTTGTAGATTGGCATTGGTCTTTGACTCAATTACATTTGAGAACCACAGTTTACTTTTTTTTTTAAAGCTGGTTCAGGGGCAGGGAGTAAGGACTCCCTGTAGTCTAATGTTAGGGAGAAACTTTAAGTGTATTTTAATGTATTAAGGGTCCCAAGATAATTCTCTGAAAATGCCACCAAGTTTACATGATATTGGAAGCCTTTTTTCACAAGCCAGCTATGAAC